GGGGAGGAAGCTGGAGGTGGGGGGGGGGGATTGCAGCAAGGTCCCATGCCCTGGCCTTTCCTCCTCTGCCCTGGGATCCCCGTCTCTCTCGCTTTCCCTTCGGCCACATTGTTGGCTCCAGGCTGGGGGGAGGGAGCAATGCCTTGCTCAATCGGATGAAAGTTTGCATAATGATCATGGGAAGACAGCAGTGAAAATCTCGACCTCTCCCAAGCCAGGTAAGTTTCCTGCTTTTTTTTAATACAGTTTTTTTTTTTTTTTTTGGGGGGGGAGGACAAACGTATGGTTCCCTTGTCTGAAAGGTTGCGTAAGATTCTCTGCAATGGGGGGAAACCTGGGGGAGAGGGGAACCCCCTCCCCAACGTGAAGTAGCGCACAAGGTTTAAAAACAGCGTCCTGATAGTATTGGGGGGGGGGATTTATTATTTTTGTCTCTGATCGGTTGCCTGAAGCGACGGAGGAGGAGGCTAGAAGCGAAGAGTTGGCCAGCACAACACGAATGTGTAATGCTGTTTTGCTGCTGTTGTCTGATTTCCTAAGACTCTGGGCGACTCGAGTTGGCATTGTCTTTTAAAGTTAGCAGGAGAGAAAATTTGCGCGTAGCCGAGGAAGGCTGCAGCCTTTTAAATCTAACATCTGCTGATTGCCCTCGTTTTGTTTTAGCAGCAGTCTCTTTGGACTGTATTCTTCTTAACCTCTTTTTAAAAGGATCCTTTGGGGGGATTCTTTCCCCCTGTGGAACGTTCTTAATAAATATCAAACCGTTACGTATTTTTTTTAAGCCCCCCCCCCCCCCCGCCCTAGGTTTCCGAAGTCGAACGCCTAAGTTTTGCCTTCATGGCGTGATCTAGGAAAGGCCAGGATAAGGTTTATGACATCTGACCAGCATTTGAAGGTATGTCTGCTGCAAATGGCTTGTCGAGGCATAAGTGCAGTTTTGCAGTCTCCTAGCAACGCCATTGACTGATTCGAATCCCAACCAATCGCCGCGCTCCTTTCCCCCTTCAAATGTTTTTGACTAGTACGGGAGGGAGTGTTGCAATGTGCAGGAAGAAAAACTGTCTTTGGCCGGCTGCCTTTTCCTTCCTCCGCTCTGTTTTCCTTTCCCGTCACAACGATGCCCTTCTGTATTTAGGGTTATTTTTCACATCGGCTTTATGCAGTCGTCTGTAACATACCCTCAGTCTGACAAACATTAATAACTGCGGGTTGCCTTGACGCCCCCATCGTTCTCATTTCTCCCGCTCCCCTTGCTGTGTCTCTGCTATGTCAGTTTTTTACAGCTGAAAAAAGAGATTATGACTGTCTTAGACGACAGCAAAGTTTGTGGGGTTTTGGAGTGGGGGAAGCCCCCCTCCCAGCAGCTAGAAGCATATCTGATAGAGCTACTGAATAGGCAGCAGGTTATCAAATGAACTGAACTGCAGAACTTCGTGTTATTTTGCCCAGCTGTGGAGCACAGGAATGAAATTTCTTAGCAGGTGGAGCCTAGTCATGGAAGGCTTGCTTGTGGCCTTGTATCCCAATTTCTTCCCCCAGACCCGCTTAAACCTTTGCTAGGTTTCTGATACACCGTACTGTAACATAAGCTGTGTACAGGTATCCTTGGCAAGGTGCTTGAACCTGTCCTTGTTGCCCTCAGCAAGGTTCCCTCTAAGCTGCGGAGTCCTGTGAACAAAAATCCTACTCGGTGAGCGACCGGCATTAAAGTGGTGAGCCAGCGATTTGGCTGCTGCAGAAATTAGTTTGCTCAGGAGCAGAGGCTGAAAAACTGTGAGCCAGCTCACCCTAACTCAGCTTAGAGGGAACACTGGCCCTCAGTACTGAGTGTGCAACTCTTGGGTTTTAGGTTGCTTGAAAGGTGCAAAGGTTTGTGTGCCTCTTGGCAAGTGATCCATACGAGACACTTATGAAACAGTAAAGTTTCTATACTTGAATTTTGTCAGGAAGATCAAAACTGAAGCCAGCTTAGGTTTAAAAAAAGAAAGAAAGAAGGCAATTGATATTTAAATGTATACGTGGCCTAATGTTTCCTAGTGAGCCAAAGTCAGATGTGGGATTTCCCAGTGGCTTACTTATGTCTTCAAAATATTGTCAGTGGTGTATTGTACGTGCTGTTGTGGTGAAAAGACATTTTACTGTGTTCAAGATCTCAGCATGAAGTTCCCATGTTTATACTCTACGCTGGTCTCAGGAATGGCTTGTATTAGAAAGTCACTGTGTCTGGTACTCTGGAGGAAAATAATTTGTAAATTGCAATTTCAACTATACTGGGGCTAGTGCTAGTCAGTTAAGCTTGATCCTTCAGAGTTGCAGGATCAGAGCTAACTGTATCCATCAATCCACCGTAAGCTTTTAAAGAGAAGTCAGTGGGTTTTTGTGTGTGTGTGTGTGTGTGTGAAAACTGATGGTACGATACAGCCCTTTGGGAGGATACTGGTAAGTAAGCACATTTAAACTGAAAGAGAGCAGCATGTCGTCATAGCAACAGAGCAATTAAATTATGTTGTCAGCCATGATATAATTTTCCTATTTAAAAGCTTGCTCCTGGGACACAACTTCTGTTCATACTGAACTCACTTGTCTACCATGCTCCCAGTTGCAAATACAGCTGGGATGCACAAAGGTTGTATCATTTAGGGCCCATTTCTCTAGGCACATCCGCTCCTCCCCATTACCTTGGTACTTGCATGTGTCAATTCATTAATAGCACCCTTAATGGGGCAACCTCAGGGAAAAAATGCAAATCCCTCTTTTACATAGTAGTCATAAAATGTGGTTCAAGTATTTGTACAGCGTATAGCAGGCCATCTTGAGTGGTAGAAACAGGGCAGATGTCTATATTAAATGCAGAAGAGGGGTGGGAATGTGGTTTCCAAGTTACTTTCTTGGCCTTTTAAAAAGTACACAGTTTAAATTGTGTCCTTTTAACATCCTTTGTTTTTATTAGGTTTTGCAGTATTTTTTGGCATGCTTTCCCTGGCTTAGCTCTAATGTTGAAATGGCTGCAATGCACTCCCCCCTCCCCGAAATTCTAAGTGGTTTTTGTATCCTCCTTCAAATGAATTTGTGTTCTTTACCCCAGAGCACAATCTTTCTCAAATCTCTGCTTATTCAGGGCCCACTCCTTTAATGACCTCTTATGTAATTACCACTTCCCTTCTTGTTGCTATAAAGTATCTGTTGGACATCATCAAGGCCTTTCCAAAGAGATGTGTTCAGCAGTCGATGTTCTGAAACAAACCCCTTTGTAATGCTGTGTTTTAAAGCTAGAGTAGCCATTTTTCTTCCACCATGGGTACAAGTTTGCTTTGTAGACAAGTTTCACTTCTCAGTTGCTTTTTCCTTTGAAGCTCAACAAACAAGAACCTTTCTACTTCCTTTGTAATAGCTGTTTGCTGAATTGTATAAAAATGCCTTGCCTCTTATAGAGTTAAAAAAAAAAGCAAGTGGTGTTGCACTTCCTGTTAACCCTTTCTGTACTGTAATCAGCATGTTTTTGATTTAGGACTGTTTCTGTTGGTCTGAGTAGAGGTAAACTTTCATGCTGCAATATATATGTGTTCTTACCAAAGCTTGCGTACTTTCAGTGAACAAAAAAAACTAGTTCCACCACAAGTACTGAGAAGTGTTATTTTTTTTAAACCAAGAATCGGGCCTTTTGGTAGAATTGTTAGCTGTTCCGAATCAGTGTTGAAGAGCACAAACAGCATGCAGAAGATGTAGCTCTGATTAATTTTAGAATGGAAATTTGGACTGGATGTTTACAGGAGAGATTGAGAAAGGTGTTGCTGAAGGCTTGAGCATTGTTTGACTTCACTGACTGTGTCATCTTATGAATTTGTTCCTCTGTACTTACTACACATGTCCCTTGGTGTTTTGATTTATGTTTGATGTAACAAAAATGTAATGCCGCCTTGCATGTTGCTGCCTGGGACCAATATAGAAACAGCAGCCTCAGCTGGTTGATATGATGTCACTCTTCATGCTTTCTTCTAGGTCATGCTTATTGTATTTACCGCTGGCTCTCGTTTCAGTGAAATGTGTGTTGCCGGGGGTGGCTGTTTGGGTGCGTGTGTGTGTGTCTGCATTTCTAGATATTGGCAGTGAACCCCAACTGCAGAAGCCTTTTGCACTTCATTTGGAGGCAAAAAAGTTGGTAGCTGTAGTGAGCAAGTGCTTGGGTGTCATTGTGGCTGCTGTGTGTATAAACATGGAGTTTTGCCTGCTTGAACATTCAGCTAGAGCAGGCGAGACTATAATTATAACATGGCTGTGTTCATACTGGAAGTGAAACAGCTGTACTTAATCTGAAGCAACTGGTCTTAAGCTCCCGATTTTTTCTGCTTATTACAAGCAGGGGTATGTGTGTGACAGTGATATGTACACATGCAGTCCAGCCCTGTGCATGCTTGCTTAGAAATAAGTCCCACTGATCTTATTGGGGGCTTATTCTTCAAATAAGTGTGTGTAGGATTGTGGTCTTAACGGTGAAATTTTAGAGTGTACATTCCTCTTTTAAGCCTGGACTGGGATAGCCCAGGCTAGCCCAAGCTCGTCAGATCGCAGAAGCTAAGCAGGGTCGGCCCTGGCTAGTATTTGGATGAGAGACCTCCAAGGAATACCAGGGTCCTAATGTGGAGGCAGGCCATGGCAGACCACCTCTGAACGTCTCTTGCCTTGAAAACCTTCTGGGGTCACCATAAGTCAGCTGTGAGTTGTTGGCACTTGCCATCCCTACCGCATTCCTGTTTGGATAGAGCGTTGTGTACAGTAAAAAACACACAGAGTATCTCAGGAATACCCTAGTGTGTTATGCCAGTGATAGAGATCCAGCTCTTTCCCCAGCCTCTGTATCCTTTGCTTAACAAACCTTGATGTGTGTGCTATCTGATTTAAAAAAAAAACACAAGCCATAAGATTTCATAAATGGTCAAATTACTGACTGGGGGGGGGGTGAGGAGAGAAATCTGTCAGAATGTTGTGATGCTAACTCTGGCGCTGTCAACTAATACTTGCATTTCTTCCCCTTCCCTTCAATGTCTTGGATTGCTTTACCAGGAGCCTCCATCTAAATGGGTCCAGTTATGCCTCCCAGTAAGAAGCCGGAGGGCTCGGGAATTAGCGTTTCCAGCGGACTGAGCCAGTGTTACCGGGATGGTGATTTATCCAAGACGCTTCATGACGATGAGGACTTGGATATCTCTTTACCTGTTCTTCGATCAGAAAAAGGGCCCATGGAGGACGAAGAGCTAACTAACTTGAACTGGCTACATGAGAGTAAGAACTTGTTGAAAAGTTTTGGGGACACGGTCTTAAGAAGTGTTAGCCCCGTGCAGGATCTTGACGATGATACCCCTCCGTCCCCTGCTCACGCCGACATGCCCTATGATGCCAAGCAGAACCCCAACTGCAAACCACCGTACTCTTTTAGCTGCCTCATATTTATGGCCATCGAAGACTCTCCAACCAAACGGCTGCCTGTAAAGGATATATACAACTGGATTTTGGAACACTTCCCTTATTTTGCAAATGCCCCCACTGGATGGAAAAACTCTGTGAGGCATAATCTGTCGTTGAATAAGTGTTTTAAGAAGGTGGACAAAGACAGAAGTCAGGTGAGGCTGGAACGATAGTATTCTCCCTGCCTGTACAAACCATTTAAACTTTTGTTTTGTTTGTTTGTTTTCCAGTTTGAGGGGGAGAAGCTGTGTACTCTTCCCACTTCTCCCCATTCTTCCGGTTTTAGTTCATTCAGAAAGGTGGTAATGCTCTTAGCTGGTTCATTATTGATGGCATTGAATTCACTGTCTGTCTGAGTGTAAAAAAGCATTGTTTGTGTGCATTTTTTAATATGAACCTGTCAATTGTGGGGGACTATTCAAGTACATAAGATGCGTATAATGGCATTGTGTAAGTAGACTGGACATCGTTCTTCACTTGGATGATATCCCCCCCCCCCCGCTTTCTATTACTTTGGCTCCCTATAGCCAGGCTGCAGTATTGGGGGAGCACAGAGGTGGGGTTCCAAAGGGTTCCGCAAGTCAAGTGACTTCACAAAAGCCGTTTTCATTGTGTTCCCGTTTGCTCAGCAGCCCCAAGCATGCCTCCTGAAAAGCCCTTGCTGCAGGTTTGGGGGAGGGGAATCATCCAGAACAGTGTGTCACACTGAGGGATGGGACTGTGGCTCAATAGAAGAGCCTCTGCTTTGCATGCGGAAGATCCCAGGTTCAATCCCCAGCATCTCCAGCTAAAAGGATCAGGTAGTAAGTGATGGGAAGGACCTCTTCCTGAGACCCTAAAGAGCTGCTGCCTTTCCGAGCAGACAGCACTGACTGTGATGGACCAAGAGTCTGATTCAGTATAAGGCAGTGACATGTGTTCATGGGGTGGTTGTAACAAGAGCAGAGAATCAGCATGAGGCTATTTCCTTACACCTTTCTTGTACAAATACTGGTTCTTCACCATTTGAACCATACGGGCATTGGGCTGCTTGGCTCCTCATGCTTACTTACATTCCTTTCACTTGGTATTCTAGGCATTTTTTCTTCTAAATTAGTACTGTTCGTACATCTGTTCCTTCAAATGGGTGTGTAATTCATTCAGTCTGACACATAACAAGGTTCTAATTAAACATTTATATGGTGCTGACCCCATCTTCAGTATTACAGCCTCTAACCTGTGGAGGGAAAAAACTGGGAGTAAAGTGACTAAGGGGAAGTGTCACCTGAATTATAAACAAGCACGAGATATCAAACTATACAATGTCTGTACCATTCTCCCACAAAAGCACTTGCCCACAGGCTGGGGTGGGGGGATCGTTTTCATCCTGGTGACTGCGTCTCCTGGGGCTTACCAAAGGGCCATCCAAATTTGTATTGATCTCTCAGTCCATCCTGGCTGCTTTGTGGTAGGTAGGGAAGGTTTTACTCTCTGTTCAAGTGCTCTGTTTTTGTGTTTACGTTTTTGTTTTTGCGTTCATATGTGAAGCCGCTTGCCCCAGGCATTCTCTCTGGTTTGCCTAAGAGTGTGAGGAAAGGACAAATTACTTAGCCTCTTCCCTTTCCACACACCTGTATGTGTCTTTCTATTGCCTTTATTCCCCTTGCCCAGCGGTGCCTCTGCTTCCAGGCCTCGCCCCACCCCTTAGCTCCACATAGGGACTTGTGTACAAGAGTGTTTCTGTTTTCATCAGCAAAACACTGAAGGGTATGAGATCACTTTTATTATTTAGGCCCTACTACTCTTGGTTAGTTCTGATCCCCACTCCCTTCCAAGTGTGCCTTGAACCTGAGTTTCGCCTGCTTTGTTCTCTGAGGTTTCCTCGTCACTACTCACCCACCACCATTTTTGCAGCCTTGTTTTTTTGGGGATTCTTTCTGACTTTGTGTTGCTTTACTTTACTATTAGTCCCATTAGTCTTCAATGCCGGGCAAAGAATAAAGGTTAGTCACAGGTTGCTGGATCTCTTGGGAAATCCTAGTAATCTCCAATAATGTAAAATTATGTGGCCATTAGTGGCAGATTCCTTGGTAGTGATTCGCACAATAAACTTTTTAGTGGTGTGTGGGTGTACAACTAATATGACTGCAATCTTGTGCACAGTTGTTTGGGAGAAAGTCCCATTGCAGTCAATGATGTTTGCTTTTAAGTACTAATATGCACAGAATCCAAAAGTCCATTTTTCTTGCAGAGAGTGACAGGACGAACAGTGTGCTCATACATATGCTTCTGTATTCTCCCTGATCCATGAGCAGGTTACATGTCTATAATTGCAGTCCTTATCAGGTCTACTCGCTAGAGCTTATGCTTAGGAAAGTGTTCTTAGGATGACACTATGTCAGTCTGGGTGATCCCAAGCTTTCAGGAACCAGCTGGCTTTCAGACCAGCTGGGTGGCATTAGGCCAGTCACAGTTCTCTCAGAGTTGGTCACTTGAGCAGTTCCACCTATCTCATAGGGTGTCTGTTTTGGGGAGAGGAAGGGAAGGAGATTGTTAGCCGCTCTGAGACTCTGAGTGAAGGGCGGGGTATAAATCCAGCTCCTCTTCTCCCTGTTCTTAAAAGTGCTGACTCAACTTGCTGTTCCTTAAAGAGCAAAAGAAAACACACACACACACACACACCTGTTATGGATTCAGTGGCTGGCCTTGGCTAATTTCTGGGCTAAATAGATCCTTTAGAAACAACCTGTGTGTATACTGCAAAAAAAGGAATGTATTGTCTCTTGTGTCTGGCTTTGCCCAATGAATCACCGTTATATGGCTGGTTCTAGACTAGTGGGTATCAGAGTTCTATTAAAAAACTAAACAGCTCTTGCAAGCATAACCCTGTCCACCCCTGTTATATAGTAATGAATTCAACCTCTAGTCTTTTACAACATAATTTTTATTTGGGTTTAAGTGTAAAGAATTGTTTTCCCTTTATATGGTCTATATGGTCTAATTTTGTCTAGGAATTAACTTAATAGGTATTACCTTATTACTAGTAACTGTTTATGTTAGCTGACTATGTAGTCTGTCTAGTGGGGTAGGACTTTAATGGAGGCTGGTAGAAAATAATGCCTGGCAACAAAGCCTAGTTGTACTTTGTAGACTGCTGGTCTTGTACTCTTCATATGCTTTGGAAGTTAATGCTGCAGGTTTCTTAAAATTTTACTCATGTTTACTAAGCTGTGTTAGCTAGCTCTCAGTTGTGCAGTGAGGATGGAAAAAACATTTTTTCTTGTCTTTGCACACTAATGTAACAGCACAGCAGTGCTCATTTTTGTCCCAAGCAGTAGCTCAAAAACTTTGCAAATCCATTCGAAATTCTACAATGTGCCACAATTGTTTTTTGTTTTTTTCACACATTGTTAACTTTGTTTTTAAAAAGTATTCTATTTGTGTGGTATCATGCCGCTGTGTCAATTCATATTTGTGAAATAGCACACCAAAAAGCAAAACTGTCCCCATCCAAAGGAATCTGCTGAAAAATCTTTTCTACCACTTTACCTGTATTTGTCACTCCTGCCTTTTCTGCATTGTGCTGGTCAAGCGGCTGCCATTTTTAGTTAAGGAAGGCATTTCACAGAGTTGCTTTTCCGAAAGCACATGTGCTCATAATTTGCCCCAGCTTCACTGAATAACTTAAATGAGAAATTTCAGCTTCACAATTTTATGAATTCAGAATGGATTTTTGCCAACCTGGAAAGGACAAGGCCCCTGGAATATTTAGTGGAATCTAAGCCAGGAAAAAAACAGAAACTGAAGGCATGTTTTCTAGTGCACAAAAAGTAGCTTGTAAACTTGACTGTACAGGCAGATTTTAAAAACTTCTATAACTCAGTCATTTTACCTCTGATTTTTGTCCCCTGAAATTTGGTCAGATTATACTGATCTTCAAGTAGATTCTCTGTGCCATATTTAAGACCAAGTGGTTTGTCTTAATGTTGTTGTGATAGAGTTTTCAGGTGTTACAATGGTAGAATGTTAGGGAAAATGTACCACAACTATACTGGCAGGCCCATATAAACTTGCTTGATGCTTCATTTCTAGCCAGTCTGGCAGACGTTAAGGCTTTAAGGGCAGTGTGTGGCAGGCAAAAATGGGTATGGAACAACAGACTACACTTTTGAGTAAAATGATGAAGAAAGCTTTCAAAGAATTAACAAAGTTCCTTGAAAATGTGTCCTTGCAGTTCTTGATTTTGGATGAGTGTATACTTTCCCTTCTTGTTTCTTTGAAGTAGTAAGGTGTGGAAATGACGTCCTTGTGTCTCCCCACCCCACAAAAAAAAGTGAACAGATGCCATAGACTGAAGTGATTGTTGCACAGTGAAATTTTTATGTTCTCTGGTCTAGAGTACTTTGGATGATATGTGTCTTCCAGGAAAAAAGAGACATACAGTCATAACACAACCATTCCGGAAAGACGTCATCTTCTTTTTCTGCAGTGTAGCTATCTTTGACCTAGTTTTGGGGTATGATGCAGTTGCTTATAATGTTAAGGTATTACATGCTTTAAAATCTAAATGAAGGAGGTTAGGAAAAGTAGACTATTAAATCAGAAATTGTAGTTTTCATATCTGAAATTGCCAGTGTGCAATTTTTTTTAATCTTTGGTTTTTTAATCCGCCCACTTTGTCTTATTGATTGAATCCTTCCATTTTTGCACAGAACATCTTACTTTGTAATCTCTGTTCTTAAGATTTATTATTATTAATAATAACAATAGGAATCTTAAGAACAGAGATTACAAAGTAAGATGTTCTGTGCAAAAATGGAAGGATTCAATTCTTCTTATTATTATTAATAATAACATTTCTATTCCTCCACTTTATCCAGATATGTTCCCCAAGGTGGTGCACATCCAAACATTAAAATATTCCAGCATTTAAACAGCATTTAAAATAAGGCATATATAAAGCAGTTCAGTAGAAACATATGAACACACACAACACCACAACCAGGAAGGAAGACCAGTAACAGTTATTGGGGGGAGGGGAGTGGCTGTATGCCAGACAACATAAAAAAAGTCTTCACCTACTGGCAGAAAAAGAGATAAAGAGAGACAGACAGATCTCCCTGAGGGGGAAGGTTCAAAGGTTTGGTACCACAATCAAGTTTTGATACCACAACCA